ATTCACTTTCGGTATCATGGTCCGACTGAACTTGAGGGTCGTCTAGGGGACGCCTCTCTTCTGGAATCGGTACAGACTTGGATGCCATCTCTGAAGTACTCTCCCCACAGACGGCGCCAAATGTTTCGGGGTTTTCTGATGTCCTGCGGGAGAGTTACAATTCCGAGACTGGAACCGGACGCCTGTACCTGCAAAATAACGAAGACTCCTGAGAGCTCCGCCTCCAACGGTCAAGTTAGTACCTGATTAAGGAGTAATCAATACAGAAATTAAAGTAATGAGATCTCTCTAGGTGAGAGTGCTTAGTGTTGGTAATCTGCGTCGTTAGCGAGATTAGCCGGTTGTTAATAAGTCTGTTCTTCTCTGCTTGATCTCTTAATTATTCGGTTGTTGATTAATGAGGATTAATCGAGTATTTATAGCCTTGGGAAGCGTGCAACTCTCTAGGTTTAAGGTAAACCTAGGGCTGACCGGGCCTCTAGACTGAATTGGGCCTTGATGGCCGGTTGTCCCATTTGGCATGGGTGGACACGTGGCGTGTCTTAAGTGGTCCGTGGAGGACGTATCTGTGACTGACACGTGGCAAGCTCCTGTTGGCCTTCGTGAAGGACACGTGGCGGAACCTGGTTGGTCCACTTGTCAGACGGTGATTGGTGGATAAAAATCCCCTAATCAATATTCACTTGTTTTTCAGTTATAGATGCCAATGAGACCCGCATCGTCTCGGTGGGACGGAAATGGGTTCCGATTTGGCAAGTTGTGAGCCAGAGATGGGGATAAAAATCATACTCGTCATGATTGATGGGGAGAGGATGGACTTTAGGTTGTACATGTCTACGACCCCACCCCGCCCCACATCATACATGTCCCACTTCGTACCACCGCATACCTACATCCATATGTACGAAGTATATCCCCATCCCTACCTTGTAAAAAATTTGGGTTAACTCTTATTAATACTAAGGGGGCGTTTGGTTCGCAGAGTGGTATAGGTTGGGTTTGAGGTATAAGTTTAAAATTCATTTTTTTAACAACCAAACATATGGTATGAGTTTTAGTCATTCTAAACCCATACCTCTTACCTTTATTCCGCGAACCAAACTCCCCCTAATAGTGCTTGGACGATTCACAATTATACTCTCTAAAATATTTATTTACTTATTTGTCCTTATTAATGTTAATTGTCTATTTTTTAAAACTCTTGAAAATAGTGTGCTTACATATATATCCCTAAAAATATTTGTTTATATAATTTTCCTCATTAATCTTATTAACAACTAAAGTTATGACATAAGGCTAAAAAGTTCCTGAACATGACTATAGGGTGTGTGCATCACATGCGTTAGCCACCCTATTACAACAAATATATATATATATATATATTTTTAGGAAAATTTGTCAGGAAAAACCTTTTACAGTGACCTTTTTGTCAGAAAAAACCTTTTAAAATTTTTTTGGCCAAAAAAAACCTTTTTTAAAAAAAAATTTGTTCAAGAAAGCCAAAACCCACTTTCCGACGTTGACTCACAATTCTCCGGCGTTGACCACATGTTTTATAACATGTGCCATGCACATGACCCTTATTTTCCTAATTACACCCCGCTTTGCCTAATTTAACACCCTTTTCCCTTCAATTAAACACTCTCTCTCCTACTCTCTCTCTCTCTCTCTCTCTCTCTCTCCTACTCTTTGTATTCTATTTCATCTCCTTCTTTCCTCTGTGTTTTCAAATTCTAACGCCATTGTTGGAGTGCAGCAAAATCGAAGCAGTAGAAGACTTTGTCACTAATTTTCGACAACTAGTAAGTGATTAATTTGTGTAACTCTGACTTTTTCGATTCTTGATTGAGAATTAGGGTTTTTTTTCCCCTTTTTAAATTTTCTCAATTATGCAGCGACTATGGGTCGAGGAGGTGTTACGAGGTGTGGTTGTGGTTTTCCTGTTGCGAAGAGGACTTCATGAACCCATGATAATCCTGGGTTAATGGCCTCGATGTATTCACAGAGAGTAGGAGAGAGAGAGAGAGAGAGTAGGAGAAAGAGAGAGAGAGAGTAGGAGAGAGAGTGTTTAATTGGAGGGAAAAGGGTGTTAAATTAGGCAAAGTGGGGTGTAATTAGGAAAATAGGGGTCATGTGCATGGTACATGTTGTAAAACACGTGGTCAACGCCGGAGAATGGTGAGTCAACGTCGGAAAGTGGGTTTTGGCTTTCTTGAACAAAATTTTTTTAAAAAGGTTTTCTTTGGCCAAAAAAATTTTAAAAGGTTTTTTCTGACAAAAAAAGTCACTTTAAAAGGTTTTTCCTGACAAATTTTCCATAATTTTATAATATTTAATAAAAAAAAATTAAGTAAATAATAATATAGTTAAAGTATAATACTTTGTAATAAAAATGAATAGTTTTAACAATGTTTTTTTTAATCATAATCAATATTATGTAGTATAATTATACTTAGGAGGCGAAGATTAGGCGGGGGTGGATATCCAAGTGGGCGGTGGGCACAAGGGTGGTTTTAGAAGTGTACCCGTCAAGACGGGAATGGGGATCGGATGAATTTTGGACCAACCACGGGAATAGGGGGGATGAGGATGAGACGGTTAGGCAGGGATGAGGAAGGGAAAGCCAACATATGTCCTTCTTCACCCCATTGACATCCCTACGTTTTGGTCAATTTAGGGTTTGTTTAGTTCACCTTATTTTTGGTGGTCTGATCTTATCTGATTGTCTATTTTGACAAAACTTTAATTTTATGTGTACGACAATCTACAAAGAAAAATACATCTAGTGGGGCTCTTGTTATATTCTTAATAATATGTACTTTTATTAATATATGAGTAGTTTTCATAATTTTTTTCATTACGACATTGAAGATATATTCATATATAGCGATAAAAAGCCGCACATAAAACGACGATATGATCTGAACTTATTTTTTCTGATCTAACCTGATCTGAACTTCATTTTTCTGAGCTGACATATCTGAATTTATTTTTTACAATATAAATAAAAATAAGTCAAACTAAACAGGCCTAAAACCCCTTTGGAGATGAGTTTGTGATAAGCCATCCAGGTGTACATAAAATTTCACATAATTTGTTGTATTTTACAAGGTGCACTATTTAATTTGTGTAATTTTAGTTCTATATTTTTAAAAGACTTTGGACAATTCTACATTTAACTTTTTTTTTTTTTTGAATAACTATTGATGGAAGTAAAGTTTGAGAAACAACTCAAAACCCTTAAATTAAAGGGTATGCAATCTTTTAACCACGTTGTTTGTCTAAGGGCCTGTTTACATTTACTTAATTTCAGTTTAGTTTAGTTTAGTTCAGTTCAGTTCAGCTCCAATTAGTTCAGTTCAGTCCAGTTCAGCTCATAATTTCTCTTTCTCATAAAATATTCAGTTCCGCTCAATTCAGTTCAGTTCAATTCAGCTCCAATCAGTTCAGTTCAGCTCAATTCAGTAAATGTGAACATGCCCTAACTAAAACAAATGAAAAAAAAAGTAATAAAAACCATAGACACTACATCCATTACATATTTTGAAACATAGGGGAGTAGAAGAGCAATTTATGAAAAGAAAGCCTTGAATGACTCTTCTTTTTCCAATAAGTAAAATTGCATAGATTTGATATAAGATTTGAGTGATGATCCATGAAGTTTGATGACAACTAATTATTCGTCATCTCAACTAATTGATTGTTGGTATAGACTGTATAATGGTGATTGGGGCTGCATTCAATAGGCAGTGACGGATCCAGAAAAAAATATTTAATGGGGTCAAAATACATTTGATAAATTGTAATGAGGTCATTTGATAAAAATCCATAAGCAATTTTTATACTACATTTATGAGTAGGAAAAAAAAAATCATGTTCAAATAGAAGTTGAATACACGGTCGTCCATATCCGTCATTGTCAATAAAGAGGACCGCGTATTCAATTTCTCACAGTAACAATTGAGGGGAGATTAAAATCTAATCACTCGAAATTGAATCCTAATCCGGATTAGTCAGAAGATAAGGCCCTGTTATTTTGAGCTTCTAGGCAGAGCAGAGCAGAGCAAATTTCAGCAGAGTAGAGCTGAGTCGAACAGATTTCATTATTATTATTATTATTATTATTATTATTATTATTATTACTAATGTCAATATTATTATTATTATTACTACTATTATTATTATTAAATAATAATAATTATTATTATTATTATTAAATATTAATTATTATTATTACTATTATTACTACTACTACTAATATTATTGCATTATTATTATAATCATTAAATTTTTAAAGTTAAATATTAATTATAAATAATAATAATTATTAAATATTATTTAATTATAATTATTATTTTATTAAATGTCAATAATTAATTATTGTTATTATTAATTATTATTATTATTAAATATTAATTATTTATTATTATTAAATATTAATTATTTATTATTATTCTTATTAAATATTAATTATTATTATTAAATATTAAATATTAATTATTTATTATTATTATTGAATATTAGTTATTATTATAATAATTCAATATTAAGTTTTAATTTTAAATAGAGCGGAGCAGGGGAGAGAGCAGATTTCAGCAAAGCAAAGCAGCTCTAAAAACGGGGCCTAAATCAAGTGGGAACAAAAAAAACCGCCGTCTCAAATCTCCCGCCAACGCTACAAAATCTTTCAATCTCCTCTCCTTCAACATTTTCAGTTCAAAATTATCTCCCTTATTCCAGTATACTCTCCTCTCTGGCTCTCTGTTCTCTCCCTATCTTTCAAGTCTCAATCAAAACCTTCAGAAATTGTGCAAGTTTATCTTCCAGTATAATTCTACTCAGTGTAATTTTTTCTTATTTTACTTAATTTTCCGTTTTATCGTTTGATTAATTCGTAGTTTACACTAGAAAAAATCGACGATCGTTAAAATTCAGGCTGAATTGCTATTCTTCGATTTTAGGTTTGAACTTCATCTTCAATTTTTGGTTCTTAGGTCTAATTGAAGATGTCGAAGGTCATAGTTTGCGCTCGATTCAGGCCTTTGAGTTCTGGCGAGATCAGAGATCACGGCAATGGCGTTAGTATTCATCGTATTGATGATGAATCCTTCAATTTCAAGGTAATTTTCTCATACATTTCAGAAAATTTCAATAATCTTCGATTATTTTGATTTTTTGCCCATTTATGAATGTATTTTACTATAAATTGAAGGATGAGAAAGACGGAGATTTAAAATTCGGTTTCGACAAAGTGTTCTATGAAGATTCTGCTCAAGCTAGTGTTTATGAAGTTTTAGCTATGCCGATTGTTCAAGGTGATCAATATTTTGAATTATTTGAAGTAAAAATGATAATTAGGTTTGATTTTGTTATTTAATTACTGCCTAGTGTTAGAGATTTGCTCCTTGATCGATAATTAGAAACCGGAAAATGAGCAAACAATTTTTGGTTTTGGAGAAAGATAGTGTTGAAATATGTTTCATTATTTGAAACTAGGTTGATTTACTGAAATTTTGACTTATTCTAATACTGTGATTGAATTTTCGCTGTAAAAAATTGTTGGTGAAGTTTTTTCTTAGCCTTAAATTCTCTAGTGTAATTAGTCCTCAATAGTTCTTCGAATAGAGGCGAAATAAAAATAATGGAATTTACAGTAGCTGCTGATTTTTACTGATTGCTGTTCTGATTTGGAAATTGGAGATTGTATTTCTTTTGTTTCCTTTATTGCTTGAGTGCAGAAAAAACAAAGAAAAAAAAATGTAAAAAAACTATGTGCTAATCGGTTCAAATGTTGCTTTTTAATGTTATGAAAACATCACAGATACTGTTAATGGACTTAACGGTACCATCCTCTCTTATGGCCAGGTAACTTTCGTTTGCTTGGCTTGCGTTCTGCTTTTGCTACTTATCTCCCATTGCTACACCTTTCTGAACAATATTGGAATGTGGTTGACAAATTTTTACAAATAACTAGCATTTTTTTTTCCTGGTGAATTTGTGTTTATATCTGCTGTATTTGGATTACTAGGAATAATTGTTACAAACGAAAGAACTCTGGTGTGATTATCTGAAATACTTCTCTATAATCACATTTTTGTCAAGGTAGTTTAGCTATGCTTGCCACTTTAGATCTTATGCCACAGTACTTTCAACCGTTGGAGATGCTCTAATAGCTTTGATAATGGAGGCAGATTGTGTCCTAAAGACTGAAATACTTGACTAGGGTAATGCACATGCTATTATTATTTTTGATAAGATTTTTGAAATTCTCTTTTATATAAACTCTAAAGCAATCCTAAATTCCTAATAACGCTTTTGACTTAAAAATTGTTATTTAACCAACATGAAGAACTAGAGGTTAGATGCAAGAGCAATATTAGTTTTAATACTTCTAAGAATCTTCTTCATGTAGGCTTATCATTGATTTTTGAGTTCTAACCAACTTGAACTACTTTTGCTTATGTGGTCACAGACTGGAGCTGGCAAGACGTATAGCATGGAGGTGAAAAGATTTTTCTTTTCAAAGTGGTACTAGTTCATGGTTATTAAATAGTCAAATGCTTACCAAAGAATTGTCATGCCAGGGACCTGGAATCATCAAGTGTGATGCTGAAAGGAAAGGTCTGATCCCAAGAGTTATAGAAGGACTCTTTGAGATGATCCATTCTTCACAAGGAGCAACTGCACATTCAGTTAAATTGTCAATGGTAACAAGTTTGTTCCTGTAGTTGTGTTTCATCTGATTATGCCCTCCCCACTCCCACACTCTTCTTATGGGGCTTACGCATTCTCAAACTGCTGCAGGTTGAGATTTACATGGAAAAAGTGAGGTTGGTATCAATAGACAGTCAGATTCTGTAATGAAGTAAAAACGGTTACATTTCTAGTGGAAGAGCCTGATTATTATGCTTTACTTTTTCTGACCTTTAACCAAGATATATGATCAATAGGCGTGATCCTTCTTTACAGGGACCTGTTTGATTTGTCAAAGGATAACATACAAATTAAGGAGAGCAAATCTCAAGGAATTCTTCTGTCTGGAGCCACAGAGGTGAGTTTACTTTTTACTTATCCTTGACTTTACCCTGTGATTCCTGCCAAAAGTACTAACAAGAACTTTATCAACTGGAAATATTGGCTTGTTTCGTTGTTTTGGAGTCATTTGCCAGTTATGTGAAGTTCAACTTACGAATATGAAGTGACTGCAATAGTTTATAAAACCATTATACTTGTGAAATGTTAAGTATCATCCTATATTCCTATGGGCTGGAAGATACTGACGATACTATAACATGTGCCATATATGTTAAGGTCATCTTTGCCAATCATTTTAAGTGCTAACATATGTTGCTGGTATCATTAAAAGTGCACTGCCCAGTGAAAATTGTGCTCAACTTGGTATGCATAATTATGGGTTTTCTCTCCTGCTTATTGGTCATTTATGGCATGCTCACATCAGTCTACAATGACTTCAACATTTTCAGATTCCTGTGCTGGAAGCTTCTGAAGCAATGCAAATTCTATCTGTAAGTCGAGAATGGCTACAGATATTTCTAAGTTCTATTCACGCTTTAGCTTCTGACAGCAGGTTCTTAAAAATGCAGAATGGAATTATGAATAGAGCAGTTGGGGAGACCCGTGAGCATCTTTTCTCCGTGACTTATCAAATCTTTGATACCCTATATATCAGTTTATACAAAGATAGAAATCTTGATGCTTTTGTACTCAATCTTGGTATCAGAGATGAATGTTGCTAGTAGCAGAAGTCATTGTGTCTATATTTTCACAGTTCAGCAAGAGATTTCTGCTGATAAGAGGTATTTTCTTATTCCTATTGTCTATCTTAGATTTTTTTTATAAATTGTTAATCTGAAAGTTTTTTACAGGACTAAAACGGGGAAACTTATTCTCGTGGACTTGGCTGGCTCTGAAAAAGTGGGAAAAACTGGAGCAGAAGGTAGACTTCTGGAAGAGGCAAAGACAATTAACAAGTCCCTTTCTGCCCTTGGAAATGTTGTAAATGCCTTAACATGTAGCCCACTGAGCAAGTTAACCCACATTCCTTATCGTGATTCTAAGCTTACTCGAATACTACAAGATGCACTGGTTAGTTTTTTTTTTTCTTCTGTCCTTGTGCTGGATTTGTGAAATTTTCTGTTTCTTCTAAATCTCATATTGCAGGGTGGCAGTTGCCGAATGGCTTTGCTGTGCTGTTGTTCTCCAAGTCTTTCAAATGCATCGGAGACTCTGTCCACCCTTCGTTTTGGTGCAAGGTTGCCTAATCTCAACTCAGAAAAATGCAGCTTATTATGCATGTGTGTGTGGGAAGAGGTGGGGTGGGGTAAGGGGCTGTATATCTCAAGTCTGTCTAACTAAGAGATATATTTTTTTACTAACAAAGGATTAAACTGATAAAGTCTAAATAAATGATGAGATTTCTCTTAAATTTAAAGTACATCAAATCTTAAATACTGTATTATGCTTGAAAGCTTTGTTTGTGCTAATGATGCGGTGATGCCCTATGAAAATGAAGAGTGAGACCCTTTCTTGGGGATGAATTAAATTTATTAAGGTAATTGGCATGAAAAATCATTGGTCATATTTTATCTTCTCCTGTTCCCGGGGTCAATTTTAGTTGTCCTTCTCTCAATCAGTTATAGTTGTTCTCTCTTCACTTTCTTGGATGTTTGTACAGAAGGTCAGAATTGAATCAACGTTCACCTTCAATACTTAAAAATCTGAAGTGTGCATTCTCTTTGAAGTGCTGAATTTGCTCATGTAGAGTTAAACTTTTTGTAATAAATCTACTGAAGATTGGTTATTTTGTTGTCCTTTTAATGGCTCAGGGCTCAACATATAAAAGCGGCACCTTGTGTTATCCCATGCGAAGATAAACTTAGCAAGACACAAGAATATACTGTTCTAAACAAAGATGTGGCATGCGAGAGAATTTTGGATAAGGTATGCTTACTCAAGTGTTTATTTAATTTGTTTGTATATGCTCAACTGCTTTGCTCTACCCTCCGGGGGTAAAAAAATCATGTCTGCTTAGGAGTATGTGTTTCTCTCTGTAATAGCTGAAAGACAGAATGGGCACTGAGGAATTGGAGATGCTAAGAGAGCTGCTAATCTTAGAGGGAATTATGTACCACCCGAGTTCAATGGAAGACTTGATATTGGAATGTGAAACTGTCGAGTCAACTCTCATGTCATCCTTGGGGATAACAGTAGAGCTTGTTTCCACAGTGGAGGAGGTACAAACAATCTTATGTCTCTATTAGTTAAATATAAAGTTGTGCAATCTCTTTGCTTTTTCTATTTTATTTTTTCCTGTAATGATTAGAGGGTTAACTGCATTACATGGACTACTTGCTTAGTGCTTACGCTTAGAATCCATTAAGTATGCTGAACTAGACTGCAAGTAGAAGAAAAAGATGTAGCAGAAGTGCATCTCCATACTCTCTAAAGAGTCCAATCTGTGTACATTCTTACCATAACCTTGACATTATTTCTCTCCAAGTTCCCCTTCAGGCACTTTGCTTACAATATCCCTCTTCAGATTTTAGACACGGTTGCAAATTGCATTTTTTGACTTAGATTTTGAATTCTTCTACTTTGCATGGGTTTAGAGGGTAGACCCTTCCCGAAGAGCAATTTTCACTCAATCAAACAAGATTAGCTCTATTCTTGGAGCAGTTGGAAGCATTTTTCAACTTTATATGCTCTCCATACTAAGGCCATGTTTGGTAAATGGCTTTTTGGTGGCTTTTTGGTTAGCTTTTGGCTTTTGGCTTTTTTATGAGGTCAAACAGCCAAAAAATGTGTTTGGTAATTGGCTTTTTAGCCAATGAAAAAGCTGGCTTTTAAGCCAAAATGAAAAAGCTGCTTTGAGTAGCTTTTTTGTTGGCTTTTGGCTTGTTGACCCACAAATTATCTAATAAACAGCCAACTACCAACAATTAATTTACCAAACACTTTTATAAACAGCCAGCCTTAACAGCCAATTTCAAAAGTCATTATAAACAGCCAAACATACCATCTGGTCAAACAAGCCAAGTGAACCAGCCAACAACCACTTGCCAAACAAGGCCTAAATGATAAGGTGAAAGTAAATCTTGTTGCTGCAATGATGCAATCTTCTACCCTCTTTGAAAAGCCCTTAGGCACTCCCTCTATAGTAGTCATCATAGAATGGAGATTTGAAACATTCTGATAGACAAAATATGGCAGGGGACCTGAACTTTGGAAGTATGGTCACAACAAATGCCCAGTCTAATGAATGATACTATGCTAGGCGTTCTTGCTATCAAATATCATTATCGAGGGTGACCCATTTTTTCTTTCTAAGAAACCAAAATTATAGCCATCCAAGCCTGGTGACTTAAATGTGAGGTAAAATAAGAAGAGTTGATATCATTATTCTAAGAAACAGGAGAAAGCACACTTAAGTAGTATCATTCTTGAGAAAGGTAGTTGAAATCCTTAGGAGTTAAGATGACATTCATGGCACTGAACACTGCAGATGCACACGTACTGCGTGCTTCTTAGCTGCCTTTTTTTTTTTAGCTAGCTCTCATAAGCAACTAAAAAAAATGATAAAAAAGAGAAACTAGCTCTATTAAGCTATATTTTTCCATCTTATCAACATTAAGCTATTCAATTTCTGAAATATAGTATAAAAGGTAGTTGTGTTTTGTGTGTCCTTTGACGAGCAATGTGCTTAGCAGCTACTGAAGCAGAACAAAATTCTGAAGGACAAGTTAGCAGCTGCAGAAAATAGAAGCTTTTTGGATAGACTATCATATGCCCTCGGCTTCTGCACTCTTTGGTGATATGCCCATATTTTGTCACTTAGACAGGTATGTGAAGATTTTTTCATCAAATCAGTAAACAGGGCAGCAAATTTATTATAAATTGAGAGTACTAATGTTTGGGACAAGTTGCAGATAAGGGACTCAAGTTTCACAAATTGCAGATAGAGTACTCAACTGAAACTTTACCTTCTACAACAGGTTAACCCAACTTTAAAAAAAAGGAAAAAGAAAATTCTGACATAAAGTCAGAAGGTACTAACGTTTGTAATTGTTTTATTTTTTGAGCAATTAAAATATTGTCATTTGAACTCCAAGAATAACAGAATTCTATTTAAATTCCTCTCCACAACCATCTTCATCAATTTTCATTTTCTGCAAAAAAAAAAAAAAAAAAAAAAAAAAAAAAAAAAAAAAAAAACAGAACAAGCTATTTCATAAAATTACAGGAAAAATTATAAATTTTTAGAAAGAACTTGTAACATGTCAAGGCTAAGCAACGAATTTGGTATGCAATGAAGAATTGATAAAATGTAACATGAAAATGTACCTTGTGCTGCTAGTTCTTGCTGTTTCTCTTTTTCTTTGCTAAATCCTGTAAAAATTAATGAAATGAGTGTATGAACTTATCTAGAAATGAATGACTGAAGTTGAATAATGTCAATGTTGTTACTACCTGCAATGCTTGACTTGTAATGCTGTTGCTGTCTTGGCTCTGCTGCTGGCTTGACATAGGGTACTGGTCTTGGCTGAAGGAGTAGACAGTTTGCTCTCCTTCAACTAACACCTTCCCAATCCTTGACATGTTACAAGTTCTTTCTAAAAATTTATAATTTTTCCTGTAATTTTATGAAATAGTTTGTTCTGATTTTTTTTTTTTTTTTTTTTTTTTTTTTGCAGAAAATGAAAATTGATGAAGATGTCTGTGGAGAGGAATTTAAATAGAAGTCTGTTATTCTTGGAGTTCAAACGGCAATATTTTAATTGCTCAAAAAATAAAACAATTACAACCGTTAGTACCTTCTGACTTTATGTCAGAATTTTCTTTTTCTTTTTTTTTTTTAAAGTTGGGTTAACCTGTTGTAGAAGGTAAAGTTTGAGTTGAGTACCCTATGTGCAATTTCTGAAACTTGAGTCCCTTTTGTGCAACTTCTCCCAAACGTTAGTACTCTCAATTTATATTAACTCTTTACATTTGTTTAAAGTGAAAGAATACTATATCTTGAGGTACGTTATTCATATAGTTTGTCACAGCCACACAAATGATAGCTTTGATATTGCTATTCGTAGAAGATATATAAAAAATAAACAGTTTGCTTTGTGGAAAATTGAATTGGATAGTTTTTGCCCCACCTTTGTTACCATTTGACTCCACATGATAATTAAATTGCCCCTCCAAGTTAAGTCCTAATTCATTCATTAAATTTATATAACTATAATCCAAACTAACAAGTATTGTGTTAATTCATAAATTTGCAATTAATAGGAAGAGAGAAACAATTTCGACAACTAATTAATTGAATTTGTAGGAATAATTGGGAGTTCAAATGATGGTGCTTTAGTGCTTAATTCTTTCTCTGTCCTTGCTACTAGAATTATTTAATGGTAAATTGTGAAAGATGGATTTTCTATCTTATAATATCCTAGCACATAACGTAGTTTATGACTTACTCCTTTCCTTTTTAAAAAATTGCATGACTTATTTGGTTTTTGATAATTGCATGACTTGCATCAGTTTCCCATATTGTAAAGTCTTACCAATTTATTTACTACCTCCGGCCCAAATTACTCGCAACTTTGGGATATTATTTGTGAGATATAAAATATTCCAAAGTTACAAGTAATTTGGACCGGAGGTAGTAGTTATCTTCCCCTTATAATTTCTTAGCACATGCCCCACTTTTACATCATAATGTTATATATCATACTTTACTTGTCCCACTCTTAAATTATACGAGTACGTACATCTCATATCTTAATGCTATTGTGCAGGAACAAATGGAGTATTATTGAGTTAGTCTAAAACTCTAGGGTCTTCAACTATGACCAAAATACATACTTGTATATTTTTGGCTCAGCTCAAGGACATTAGACTTTAATTTGTTGTACATGGGAACCACTCTTTTAAACTTGTGCATTGTATTGGTTGAAGGAGCTTTTGGTCACATCTCACATGAAGCTTCAAAAAATTGATAAAAGGTTGTGTTTTATGAGAGATGCATTTCACGTATTCAACATAGATATGTTTACGGAGCATAAGGCGATGATGTGTACACGGAGAATAAGGCGATATTAGTGCTTATTTAGGGCAGAAATTAATAATAAGACGGGTGAATATAAAAATTACAAATCTCTCAACGTATTAAAAGCTAACATTTTTTAAAATAGTAGTATTACCAATTTATTAGAAAATATATTCGTGAAAGACTGTGTGACTTAAAAGTTGTATTTTAAACATGGTATTAGTACACTAATGAGCTAAATTATTTCAGCATAATGACTTTTTACCATTATACCTAATGATCACACCAAGGGCATATTTGGGATCAGGAAAAATAGGCAGGCCAATTCTGTTAGATTACTATGATTCAAAGCAAGCTTTTGTATGCCCAAGATTGTCACCAACCAACTCTTATCTTTCCCTTTAGTTTCTCACTCTTTATTGTCTTCTAACTAACAGCTTATAAAGTTTGTTCTGAGGCAATGCTAATGAAATCAAATAGCTCATCTCGCACCAGCTATGGCAATCAAGAACTCATTTACCCAATTTTTCCTCTTAACATCGATATTAATATCTTATGTCGAATCCATTGATTTCAACTACCCTGCAGTTTTCAACTTCGGCGATTCAAATTCTGATACTGGTGATCTTGTGGCTTCAGGCCTCGAGGGGATCTCCGATCCATATGGACAGACTTACTTTAAGAAACCATCAGGGAGATACAGTGATGGTCGTTTGATAATAGATTTTCTCAGTAAGATTCTAAAATTTATTCTACATATCCTCTGTTTTTCTCTGTTTTATCTATTGTGTTTCATTTTAAACCTCTCTGTTTTGTATAATGTGTTGTAGTGGATGATATGGACCTACCCTTTCTGAATGCCTATTTAGAATCCATTGGTGCACCTATTTTCAGAAGAGGTTGCAATTTTGCTACCGCAGGATCAACTATTCTTCCAGCTACTGCAACATCAGTTAGTCCCTTCTCATTTGGAGTTCAGGTGGCTCAGTTCCTCCGATTCAAAGATCGAGTACAAGATATATCTAAAAGTATGCATTTTAGCCATCCACAGAATAACACCACTACTTTTAGAATGCTTATGAAGGGGAAAAAAGTTTATGGGAGAATTTCTGATCTTGTTTTTCATGACTCCTCACAGCTACAGGTAGGAAATATGACAAGTATATCCCAGCACAAGATTCCTTTGAGAAGGCTCTTTACATGTTTGATATAGGCCAGAATGATTTGGCAGGAGCATTTTATTCAAAGTCATTTGATCAAATTCTAGCATCAATCCCATACATTTTGCAAGAATTTGAAGCTGGCATGATGGTAAAGCCCTAGGAATGACTCGGAATCTAGAATTGGCATCAGTTGTGTGTAATGTCTGTCATAAACATTGAAAACAACTAATGTTTTTCAAATGTCTGTTTTTCTTTCCAGAAATTGTATGACGAGGGGGCAAGGTTCTTTTGGATTCACAATACTGGTCCCCTTGGGTGCCTGCCTCAGAACATAGCCAAATTTGGGACAGATCGATCAAAGCTAGATGCGTTAGGGTGTGTGAGTGCACACAACCAAGCAGCTCAGCTCTTCAATCTGCAACTACATGCTCTGACCAAAAAGGTGCAGGGGCAATATCCAGATACAAATGTCACCTATGTTGATATATACTCAATAAAGACTAATCTTCTTTCAAACTATTCTAGATATGGTGAGTTTCAAATCTCTCCCTAAATTTCAGTTGTTCCTTCCATTTTGTCATGAAAATCCAATAAAATCCATATTTGCAGGATTTGAACAACCGATCATGGCTTGCTGTGGATATGGCGGTGCACCACTAAATTACGACAGTAGGGTACCATGTGGGCAAACGAAAGTCATAACTGGCAACAATGTTACTGCTAAAGGATGCAGTGACAGCACAGAGTATATAAACTGGGATGGAATCCACTACACAGAAGCAGCAAACCAGTATGTAGCATCACAAATACTCACTGGAAAATATTCTGATCCACCTTTCTCTGACAAAATGCCTTTTCTGTTAAAGCTCAAGTTCTAAAATACACAATAATGTATATTACATTAGGCCAAAACAGAGAATATAGTATGTAAAATCCAATTCATTATTCCTGAATATATGTTTCTAAAATATTTCTCTCTTAAAATTACAATGATTCATTTTACAAGTGTTATCCTTATTGAGGAGAGCAGGATTTCATTGCTATTTAGGCATTGACATAAAGAACAAAAATAAATATCTCATTCTCATCATTTTTTTTTTCTCATAGCCCTTATTAGAAGTGCCTCATCAATCAGTAGTTTACATGGTCAAACAATTTTGTTTATTCAATTATGTGTTTGTACATATACTTTACAAAAATTTTGAAAAATATTTGAAGTTACCTTGGAGCATAATCCAAACACAACCTATTTTTTGGAAACATATGCATAGTATTGTGCCATAGGGACAACAAACGCAATGACCAACAAACCTCCAACCACAAGACTGAATTGACCTCGTTTTTCATCTGTCTCCTCCTTGGACTTAAAGTTTGACTCTCTTTTATTGTCCTTGAATGATGGACCACCAGGGTCTGGAAGACCATCAATAGCAGCCACTAGCCGATTGGCACTGCTATAAATGGCTTCATTGTATTTCTCTTCAGTTGCTAATACTGTAAGTACATTTTTCCATCATCAATACTTCACCTCAACAATTATAAACTCAAGATATACAAAACTTTGTTTAAACAATATAAACCTTTTTACTTTGCACCCAAACACATTTAAACTTTCTTATTAGTAGGATTTTTTCATGATTTATGCAGAATTAAATTGATCTTTTGTAAAAGATAATCAAGTAAAGTGTGAGTATCATCAAAATGATGAATGAACTCCATTTAACCCCCCTTAAACCAAATCAAAGGACACAAGACAGAAAAAATGAAGGTTCTTTACCAGGAAGATTCTCTGACACGGTTGCATCAAGAATATTCTCTCCAACAGCCTTGACAAATGAAGGTCCACCAGTAACTGCCCCTTCCTTTTGGCTAGTGACAAGCACAACAATCCCTTTGTTATCACCATCTTCAACTGTCGGGTACCATTTCTCCAGAATTTGGTCAGCATACTCAAAAGCATCAGCTTTGCTCTGGAAGGGAACAGTAGCAAACTCACTAGTGTTAGACTTTCGTACTCCGCAGATGTTTTACAAATTCAAATCAATATGATAAATGGTCTCTAGACTCTTTATTGCAGGATAAACGAAAATTATCATGAATTTCGTATCTGAATTCACACACTGACATCTCCCAACTAAAAGACCTTAATGTCTATATTGTACTTCGTACATGACAATTACCTTTACCTAGTCTTATCTCTCCAGGCCAAGAGGGATCAGCAACACACATACCTGCAATATTTCACTAAAACTAAGGGAATTAATGCTCGAAAACTCTAGCCAAGTTTTAGATCATTGGATATCTACAAGAGTAAGAGCCTTAGAGTCAATTAGAGAAAGATAATCGAATGCCCTCTCTTGATCCATGGATTGCAACTGATTTCTCTCATTTTAGGGGGTTACACACAAACATGTAATATTGCCCTTATCTTTGTAGTAACTTCATTTGGTTTATACCTACCTTATGGTAATGGGTTTCTGTGTAATTTTTTCATCATGTCACCTCAGCTATCCAAAGCAATGCATCACAATGTCATACTCATCATCGAATTTCATAACCATAATACTATCCATACTCAGTTACTCACCTCTTGATGGTAACAACTAACAAGTTATAATAAGATTAAATAACACTATCCCATATAACACAAGCTTGGTAGTGGGATGTGCTATCATGATCATGGCACACGCGCTCCACGTATAAATGCACACAAACTCATAACCATTCATAATCTTTGTAACAAGTAAGCCATAACTGTACAGGGCCACAGGGGTGATGCACATAAAATTCAAAACTAAAAATATATGACCCTTAACACTAACATTAACAACCTTCATTTGGACTTCATTAAAAACACTAACATCAACCAAAGTTAATGGTGTATCATATTTATGAACTATTCAAGCTCGGCTCGAAAATCCCAGCAGAAGTTGAGCTATATGGCAAGTTCAACTGTAATTTAAACTCGAAAAAACAAATGATTCGGCTCTGAATTCGAATGCAAGTATAAGAGCTGATCCAAGCTCAGTCTCAGCTCGCTCAATTAGCACCCCTTATCTTATGATATCTTAAGCAGGAATTCATATTCAAAGACTGAAAAAACATGTGATCAAGTGAAACTTACTGTTAGTTTGCGGACAGTGATGAAATTAACACGGAAATTCTTTCTAGACTCTAAATCAGACAATAATCTCTTGAGATCAGACTTGGTAACACGGCTAAGAACACCTGCATCATCAACAACATATGATTCTTTTGGTGGACCTTCATTCAAAACATCAAATTCAGAAGCATTAGCACCAGAAATTGGCAAAATGGGGGAGAAATTAAGGGCTAAAGACAGAGCAAGAGCTGCTAATCCATGTTGAATGGGTGAAAACCAGTGATTGGGTACTGTAAAAGATGATGATTTTTGAGGTAAACAATTGGGTTTTTTTTAGGGAACAAATTATGGGTTTTGTGAAGGGTAATGAAAGTGATCTGGGTTTTGAAGATGAAGGTTTTGGGTTGAGAAATGGAGAGAATGTGGGAGGAGAGAGAATGGTTTCCATTTGAAAGAGGGTTTATAGTTTTAGAGAGAGAAAATTCATGGAAGAACTGATGAAGGATAATTGGATAAAAGCACAGATTTTTTTTTTCTGTGTTGGTTTGGAGAATGGTGGCTTCAAGAATTATGTGTGGTTTGCATTTTTCTTGATTTTGAATTGTTTGATTCCAGCTTTCCAAGTAACCACAACTCCACAAGATAAACGTCTATGGACCCATGAGGCCATGAGGATGTGAGAGGGGTACTTCAGTCTATTTATGTCCTATGTAAGAGTCGAGTATTATTTTACGGAATTAACTAACAACATTAGAGGTCTTTAAGGACTTGTTTTGTTCACCTTATAAAAATAAGTTTTTTGTCTAATTAGTTCAATTCAGATTAGTTATAATAAGGTTCAATAAGTTTAAAAAAGCCTAATAAATTCATGTTTTCAAAAAAAAAAAAAAAAAGGTTCAAAAAGGTCTAAGAAGTTCCTATAAGTTAATTAAGGTTTAATAAGTTTCTATAAGTTAAATAAGGTCTAATAAGTTCTAACCAAGTCTAATAATAAGGTCAATTAAGGTCCAATAACTTCTAATAAGCTTAATCAAGTCTAATAAGTTCAACAAGTTCTAGTAATTTAATAAGTTTAATAAAGTTAAATAAGTTCAGTTTAAATTTGTTCAAGTTTAATAAGGTGAAGAAAACATACTCTAAACTCTGTCATATGGAACATTAACTCTTAAGTGTCTTAGGACCTGTTTACATTTACTGTACTGAACTGAACTGAATTGATTGGAGCTGAACTGAACTAAACAAAATAGAGCTAAAATGAATAATTTATTAGAGAAGGAAATTAGGAGCTAAACTAAATTGAACTGAACTGAACTGATTAGAGCCGAACTGAATTGAACTAAATAGAGCTGAATTGAATTGATCTGAAATTAAGCTGAAGTGAACAGATCCTTGATTAGGTTCCCTTAAAGTGAATAAAAATCTCTTAAAATGAACGGAATATAAAGATGAAAAAAAAGGTAGGTCTAATTTTATACAAAATCTTTCAAGTATGTTTTTTAAAAATAATCTTTATAATGTTTGAGTTCATGATCAACAATAATTAAGTTGAAAGTCTAATCTTTTTTTTTTTTCGAAAAACAACACTCTAAGAGTAGGGGGAAGGAAAAGGGAATCATCACCTCAAAGTCTGACCATTGTAGCCAACTTTTTGTTATACATCTATACTTAATGCTTTTAATTATATATATACTTAATGCTTTTAATTATATATCTAACTTTGATTGGGTGTGTTGTACGTTTTTTTTCCTTTAATTATTATTTTTGTTTAACAATATGTACAATGCAGTATGTAGATATTGCAATATGATAATTATATTAATAATTCAAAGCATCGCTCGAGCCACACATTAGTTTATTGTTTACAATGAGAGTAAATAAGATGAACAAAATAAAGTCGAAGCTCTTAAGGTGGGATTTGAGATTGTAAACTAGTGTGTGGTTCGGGTGATGCCCCGGGTTGCTAGATTGTACTTGTTTAATTTGCTAATCAATTCGACTGTTTAGATAGTAAGACTTGTTGATTTCGAGTTTAAATCTTGTTATAAACATTTTTTTAGCTGTCAAACTCAATCATTATATAATGGAAACAAACAGTATAATAAGATACAAATTAACTCATCTAAGTTAACTATATTAAGACTAGAATAGACCCGGTCTACATTAACTTATTGTAGACCCAATCTTCTAGTATACCATACGAATGTAATTATATCATACGAAATGAGATTATATTATTATAAAAGTGATTATATCATCTTGAAACTATTATGTAAATGTATCACTCAAAGAGTGAATTTATCATTATAAAAAGTATCAAATAGTAAATTACATCATTCAAAAGATGATTTTTAAATTTTATCAATAATTATATAATCTCATTAAATGGTTTAATATGAGATCAAAATATGACTCACAAATAGATAATTATATCATCTAAAGAAACTGATTATATCATCCAGAATGTGATTATATTATTTGAAAGTGTCAAATTTTGGGTCTACAATAATTTATTGTAGAGCGGGTCCATACAAGATCAATTGTAATTTCGTTAGTTACTGACATGTCAAACTTAAAAAAGGTGACATGTAAAATATATTATATTTTAGGAACGCTTTTTAATATAAAAGTATAGATTTGTAATTAATCAAACCCCATCCTTAATTGGTTAAGCAATATTTTTACAATTTGTTGATTAAGCAGTTACTATAAACATTATCCCACATTATCTAAACACCATTCTCTAGTGGCCATGGCTGCTATCTTCACAATCTCATGGCAGTTCTCCTTCCTTCCTCCCTCCACCACTCTCAATCAAAACCACCTCAAACCCTTAAACCCATTTCTTCTCTCTCCTCTAACCCCAAAATTCAATCTTTAACCTCAAAAAAGAGGGATTTTATCTTCCAATCAATTTCTCTCTGCATTGCTTCATTAATCCTTGAAACCCCATCTGCCATTTCTGCAACTGAAGCTCCTCCTCCTTCAAAATCGATTCTTTCGGGTATTTTGAACACTAAATCATGGTTTCAGTTTTTTGGTGATGGGTTTTCCATTCGTGTTCCTCCTGAATTTCAGGACGTTATGGAACCTGAGGTTTGATTCTTTCTTTCTTTCATATAATAATTTCCTTGACTATGTTCTTGGTTTTTATGCATTTGGTATAAAGTATGCTTAATTTTGTATAAAGAAGCAATTAATTGGGAAACTGAGGGATGCCCAAATGATTTTGTGGTATCATTGTTGGTATTGGATAATGGGGTTTATACATTGTATTGGGAAATTGTTTGTTGTCTAAATTGTGTTGTGAGTGGATAAATTACTTAAATGGTTGGAGTTTATATGTGTGGCATGACGAGGAAGTCTATGGTAACATCTGATATTGATCAATCTCACAGTCACACAAACACATGCATAGTAAATTGGTTGGTTGAGAATTAGAGGTTTTGAATTAGCGGTTGTAGTTTACATGTGTGTGAGATTGATCAATGTCGGATATTTAGCTAGGCTTTCTGTATTGAGAGAGTGCTTGAAAGGTTGGAATACGTGATGTTCAGCAAGAGTAATTAAATCTAGGAAATGGAAATGGAAATGGAAATGGAAATGGAACTGATAATGATAATGGGAATGTGAATGGAACATAGAATGTGCAATGGTATCTTTGGATAGCTTAACATACACAGTTAAATTCTAGAATTTTTACTTGTATAGGCATTTTTTTTGCATTCACAAGGATTGGTATAGAATGCTCAAGGATTAAGAAAGGAAAACTTGGTGTGATGAACTAAGAAATTAGAAGAGTGGTTGGCTGTACATATTCAAACTACTTTGAGTCAGACACCGTCATGAAATATGTATAAAATGGCTCTTGAACACTTCAAATGAGACTATGAGAGTAGTAACAGATAGAATTCCATGTTATTTTCCGCCCTTGCTTCATAGTTCATAGTTGTTATAATACTATATCTTTGTCCCACACTTTGAGTAAAACACTATAGAGACTAAATCTTATAGCTCAAGTAATCGTGTATGTTGGCTTGTACTTCGTATAAATCAAGGGCAATCTGTAACAATTGAGGTGCAAGAGGAGTGTAACCCTTAGAGCCTATTTGTTAAGTGGTGACATATGGTGATAATGAAATTGAATTTATAGTACTATTTTGTGAGAAAATTCACATGTCAATTCTCATAATAATGCTTAGTTTACCTCAAATATTTCATTTTCTTCACAAATTATTATTACCATTTGGGAAACAGTAGTGGGTGATAATGGAAATATTTGAAGAAAAAACATGAATTTGGAATGTTATTGTATTACCATAGACATTATGATGCTACTTTCCTAGCATAATTACATTCAAATGTATTCCTAGTACCGCCATTCAAATGTATCTCATGATCAAAAGAAAATTTTGATCATGAGATAGTTGAGGTAGTAATATACACTAGACTTTCTAGTTGTTTAGGAAGATACACCTTTTGGATAATATGACTTGGGAGTGTAATTAGTTAGATAACTTGTGTAGGGTATGCTGTTGCAGTGATGACTGATAAGGCCATAAGCTTTCTGAAATATTGAGTATTTAGAGCCTTTTATATAATTATGATAGAATTCGCCACTTCATAAATTTGCAGTTGAACCAGTTACCTTCAATTTGACCATGTTGCAAACTGCTGGAGTTTCCCTACGGTTAGGTCTGTGGTTAATTAATTGTAGAGGTTTGATGATGGAAATTGAATCCTTATTTGACAACACCTTGTTTATCTTTGTTCTCTAATGATGCATATCTTGGGAACATGTTGGTTAAATCACCGAATGTGGTATTTGGAAATTAGTTTTGTGTTCATTTTACGCCTGTCCAAATTGGATAGATTTCTTATAGATCATGTTACAGGACTTCCACCTTTTCCGCTTCAGGATTTAATGCTGGGTTGTCCCTCCAAATTGGATAGATTTCTTATAGATTATGCTCCACCGTTTCCCTTTCAGGATTTTAATGCTGGGTTGTCCCTTTATGGAGATAAGGCAAAGCCAAAGACTTTTGCTGCACGGTTTGCCTCTTTTGACGGGTAAACATAGTGTCTTTTCTCCTCTTTTGAGTTTTATTCACTACAAGATTTCACCTCTGTATAATTAGTCTTTGTCCATTATATATGTTTCTCAGTTTTTGAGATACCAGTAAGAAATTATGGCATATAGTGTTGTCAGTTTTGCTATGTAATTGCAGCGAAGGGAAACAACAAATTTTGCTTGATATTGGGTTTATTTCTGTCATCGAGCTTTATTACTTATTTGGGAATACTAACTTCTTCTGCATTTATACAGGTCTGAGGTAGTAAGTGTAATTATCAAGCCATCCAACTCATTGAAAATTACATTCTTAGAGGTGTGTTTCTTGTTTTACTTCGTTTACTTCACAGATTATCCAATGTTGGCTATCTTAAGGAATTTGTTTGGTTGAAGTGTTATATTCCCTTTTGTTGATCTTCTGACTCAGGCTTCATACAATGTTGTCGAGTATGCTGCATTCATGCTATTCTGTCTGTTTCAAGTTCTGCAACTTAAGCATGATTCATTCATTAGAAGTTTTTGTTCTATGTTCATGTTATCAATTGACTCTGGGCATCTATCTCTTCTAAGCTGCTACATACTACCAAAATAAGTTGCTGAAGCACCTATGGGGTCCTCTTTCTTTGTCTTTCTCAGCTTTTCGCGTGACCTGACCAATTTTACGTTTAACCTTTTAGCTAGATTCACTAACCTCATTTGTTGTTACTATGTTGAACCTTGTATCACCTGCTTTCTTTCCTACAGAATGTACTACTCTCTTGATATGATAATCATTTTTTTACAGGCTCAGGACATTACTGATATAGGCTCTCTAAAAGAAGCAGCAAAGATTTTCATTCCAGGTATATGTATTACCATTCAGAGCCCCTCTCCCTCCTTTCTTAAAACAGAAATTGGGGATTAAGAGATTTTATACATGAAAGATATGCAGCTATGCTATTTGATGCTGTTTTGCTGTGACTTGCTGGTTCACAGCTTCCTGATTTGTCTACTATGGCTTGATTGTTCTTTATCTTTTGTTTGGTGCCATGGCAGGTGGGTCATCACTGTATTCCGCACGAACTATTAAAATAAAAGAAGAGGATGGTTATAGGTAAAAATCTATCAAATTGATATTTCTGTAAATGGTGCAAAAATAATATCTGTCTTTTCCTTTTGTTGGCAATATGAAGAATAGGCTAGCACATCCGAAAAGTAGTTTATTTGAAAATTTGGTGGTGGGAGGTCAAAACAGAAAATATGTTATCTCGATGGTTGTCATCTTTATTTATGTTAATTAGTTATGTTCTATTAACTAATCGTCTCATTTTGGTGGGGGCATTTACCTGTCTATTAGTTCTATTTTATTTCTTGCTTTAGACATTTTGATACAGAGTATTATTTAGCAGTATGAAAATATATCTGACTCTTCCCAGAGTAACTGTTAGTCTCACGTTTGTTGTATCTCATGTCACCCAGGACATACTATTTCTACGAGTTTGGCAGAGATGAACAACATGTTGCACTTGTAGCTGCTGTTAATGGAGGAAAGGTATTTTCTAGTCTACTTGTAGAATTTTATATAATTAGTCTTTTAATCCCAGTCTAGGAATGACAACACTCTATTTAGAAAGTACTAGCATATAGCAATTTTTAGCTACCGATATAAAAGGTGTATTCCCTTGATCTTATCGAAGTAGTCATCATATATACTATCGATAGTGTAGATCTTTTCATATTGTAGCCATTATATTAGCTTCCACAGTGTATAATGGGCATGCTTCTTGCAATCATATTGTGGACTGAAAGGATTCCAGTTGTTTTAACTTCACAATATGATGTTTCATGTTCGCTATAAATTGTGCAGGCATTTGTTGCTGGAGCGACTGCCCCACAGTCTAAGTGGGATAGCGATGGTGTAAAACTTCGCAGTGCTGCCTTGTCTCTGACGCTGTTGTAGTCCTACTTTGACAACTGAGGTTTAGCTTTGTTTATTATCATCTTAAGACTGGAGTCATTACATTTTGCTTGAAAGTCAGTTCCTTTTGTTCCCCTTCTTGGTGATACAGTAGGTCAGTACCTATGATCTGGGCAGTGTGGGCATATTGTAATTGTACATCATATTCAAAATATCATTGTTAGGGTGTTTGCATGTCTTGTTCGAGTATGTTGTAGAAATTCTGTTACAGGCAACATACAACTAGAGGTTCATGGATTATAATTAATATTGTGCATAATTGCATGTTCTTTACATTTGTATTCGCGTGCAAGATTTTACATGCACTTTGATGAAGAGACTTGTTCCTGGATTAATGTAATACAGTATTAGTAATATTCTTTGTGTTTTAATCGAAAATCACCCTTTTAATTTTGTTTGGGAAAATTGAAATCATCTACAAGTAGATTATATTCTTCAGATACCCTAAATCCGGAGCAAAAGTCTTTTACCCTGGACTTAGTTATGTCACCCCCCTTTAGGTGCACGGTATAAAATTTGCACTGTCCAAACCTACTGAACTACATCAGATATCAGATTAGGATCTGTTCAGCCTGAACTCCGGCTTTAGCGTCTTTTATAAAATGCATGCCTTATTTGTTGGTCTTTGGTGTATATGTTTGGGCAAATTCTTAGAAAGGCATGTGTATGATTTGCTGGATTTGAGAAAGCATGTTAAAGATTAAGTAAATAAACATGTTATTGATAAGAAAAATAATATGGGAAGAGAATATAGTTAAAAGACAAGTTGACTAAAAATGACTGTCATAATTGCATTATTAAAAAACATTCAAATAAGCTAGATTGAAGGATTCACAAAGCTAAAGTAGTTTTTAATTGATTGTTGAATGAATACAACGGATGATGGCGATTGATACTAAGTTGTTTAAGGATTGGTATCGTTTTGGCAATGTTGACTAGGTTGATTGTCATCTTCACTGATTATGAAACTTTAAATTAGTTGATTGGTATCTTCTTGATTTGCTCCTCAAATCAAATAATGTGCTTGTGCGTGCTAGGTGCTACCCAAGTATTTATTACCCATAAATAAAAGGGTTCAACCTCAATCGACAAACCCATAATGGCATCGGCATAGTTAGAGTGGCTTAAAAATCAATATTGTCCATAATGTTAAAATAAATTCTTATAAAATCAAAGTAAGTTCAGTTTAGCAAAAAATAAGTTCTAATTTGTTAATCAAGTGATTAGTTTTCTTGTATAATTATATAATATAATCTATATCTATACTTCTATACTTAGTTAGTATTTAAAAACTCAAACCACCATCATTCATATGCCACATGTCCTCACAAGTTATTCATATGCCACATGTCCTAACAATTCACTCATATGCCACATGTTACTTCCCTTACCTTTTTAATATTAAAAAATTAAAATAAAAATATTACATAATGTTAAAGTCTTTATGCCTAACTTGCACATTTAAGTAAGAAAATGAAGTGTTTCATTTCTATCACGATAGAATAAAGTTGAATTAATTATTACATAAACATATGAAGTATAATAAAAATAGTCTTTTTATCTCTTAAACTTAAAATATAGCTTAAACTAATACGAAGTATGTCATTTCATATTCTACAATATTCATGTATATATACTTAACTAAATTCCTTCATATTCTTCTACAATCCCACCCTCACTTTTTTTTTTAATAAGTTTTCACATCATTCACCTCAAAAGTCATGTAACAATAATTTCGTAGTTTCAACTATTAAAAAGCATACATTTATATAAAAATAACATAAGTTATAACACGTGCATTGAACGGGCCAAAATGCTAGTTCTTTCTTAATTGATGGACTAATTAAGGATGATTTTTGTTATGGAAGATTCTTCCCTAAACTATTGTTAATCTTGGAGTAGCTTAGATACAATGCTACTGTATTATAATCTAATCTAATATATATAAATAAAGTAGGCATTTTTCGGAAGCATTCGGGGCGCCACATAAGAAAAGTAAATATTTCGTCCAATGATAAATTAGATTTGTATTTTAATTTTGAATAAAAAAATTGTATCGCCACGTAGGTAAAAGTAGCGAATAAGATATGGTATTTATCTCATAAAATTTTAATGCCACATAAAAAAATTGTATCGCCACGTAGGTAAAAGTAGCGAATAAAATATGATATTTATCTTATAAAATTAAAGTAGACATTTTTCGAAAGCATTCGGGGCGCCACATAAGAAAAGTAAATATTTCGTCCAATGATAAATTAGATTTGTATTTTAATTTTGAATAAAATAATTGTATCGCCACGTAGGTAAAAGTAACGAATAAGATATAGTATTTATCTTATAAAATTTTAATGCCACATAAAAAAATTGTATCGCCACGTAGGTAAAAGTAGCGAATAAAATATGATATTTATCTTATAAAATTTTAATGCCACGTGGATGAAAAACCACAAATTTTATTTATCATTATCTTTATTTATCTTATAATAATTTTCATCTATCTTATCTTTATTTGTCTTATAATAATTTTTTTGGAAAAAAAATTATCTTAAAAAGAAAAGTGCACAAATTTTACCAACGTAGAATAGGAATGACAACTCCACTTTAATAATGCAACCGAATCAAAATTATCTTATAAATGATTTTTTTCTAACCATTAAAGTATAATAAGTATGATAATTCCACTTTAATACTTAACACTTCCGGTCAAATAAAAATTTAAGGGAAAATTATCTAGCTTGTGACACTATATCACAAATACTAAATAATACCTCCGAAAAATAATTATATTTAAATGATAAATTATCATTATAAGATAAATTTTGATAGTGTTTATGATAAGAAATTAAAATTGTTCATTAATCATAATTAAATTAAATTTTTTTATACCTACTGTTATAAATTGACACATGTACGACACCAACAAAATTTCATATTTATACAAAATTCACATCTAGAGAATTTTGTATTGGTAATTTTGTGTCAGTTTTAGGTCATCAATGGTAGGGTACTTTTTAGCTTAATTTCATATGTTTATGTTTTGTTTGATGAATTTCGTTTTTACATGCAGATCAGAGAATTAAATTCGAGCAAAAATGATTAAAAATTCAAAGTACGAGTTTTTCACCTGTTTGATGTACTAAATTTCCGCAAACAAAAATAGCTTAATAAGTCTGTTTATGGTTGTAACACCCCCAATAATTCTCCCATTTCCAAACCACTTACTTTAAATAAAAATAAAGGAGAACCATTGGCATGTTACCGCCACGTGTTAAAACGTTAAGGCTTTATCAAAGTATTGCAGCGGAAATCCAACTTAAATCTTAAAATAATATAATTTAGAAAACCAATAAGTCAAAGCTAACAAATTGGAACCATAAAGGCCCTTATTTAAAACCAAACCAATAATCAAAGTCCCAAAACATAATTAAAGTAGTAAAACATAAATAAGTTCAACACAAAGGACGAATACTCTCAATCACATCAATCCCTTGACAATGCGTATGTCAAATCACCGAACTTCACATCATCAAACTAACCTGTGCAATACTGCTCCCCAATAATACAAGTGTAATAATTGGATCATCACAGGGTCATTGAAAGGCGAATGCCATGACCAAAAGAAAACACAAAAAAGCACGCAATCAGCAAAGCTGAGTACATACAAGTTACAACGTACCAAGCCTAGCATGCTCAACTAATTAAAGTAAATAAACATACAACACGAATTCATTAATCAAGACTCCACACTTAAAAAATTCACTCGACTCAACATACTTGCTAATCAATTCCAAACACTTGACTCTTTATATTTAATTTAATTAATTTAGTTTGGAGTAAGCAATAGACGAGGTTGTCCAATCCACCAAATCATTTTGGTCCCAAATGACCATTTAAAATAAAAGTTTAGCGCGGTGCAAGAATGGGCGCGACTCCATTCTCACAAAGTTAGTCTAGGATCCCATCTAACTTTCATTATAAAATAAAAATGTAAATACTAAAAGAGAAGAGGACATGTTGATCAAACAAGCCTCGGAAAGCCACGGGCTACCACCGTGTACCCCAACCCATAATTGTCAATACTCTAGAAGTGCACGCTTTCCAGAGTTTTATTGCTCATCCATGTTTCACTTTACGTGATTATAATTTTAATTAATAGCCGAATTTATAATTTTAATTAATAGCCGACTCAATCAAATAGACCATACATAAAAATCATACATCAATTTACTTTTAATCTTATTTAGGACAATGGTGATCACATCCCAAATTGACCTTTAATTCCATTAAACTTCTAAATTATTCAAAATTGTTGAACATAGTCAACCCACCTAGCCATTTTGGCTTAATCCACCTTTACTCAACATATTAACAAGTCATGATTGAGTAATAAATAAATAAATAATAACCTTGTGGAATAATTAATAAATTCATTCCACTTAAACCATTCAATTCCAATCCTTTAATAATCCAAATGTGGTTAACAAACCAATCCAATAAAAATATGCTTGTATCAACATTCCATACAAACAATTAATCCAATATAATTCAACATGTTTGCATCCATAATTCCATACAAACATAATCAATTCACCAAAACATGTCTCATAAACATAAGCACATGAATTAATTAAATGTATAACCAAACAATTTTCATCCAAGTGTTCTCTAATCATGAAACTAAGTTCTTTTCTTTGGTACCTAAACATGATACTACTTACAACGAAGTAGATATGTACGTACCTCGTGTAAACAATCTTTTGTGCCACTTTACTAACTAGAAATCACCTTCAATAAACTCCTCTCCTAAACCAAATAATAACATCTCAATCAATACCGTACCCAATCAATCAAATTTACAGCAATACTAACTTACTTAAAAACCTCCGAAGTCCAAATCAAACAACACTTTAAAACCTTCCCTTTAGTTAAAATTAAAGGCTTATATATAGTTCTTTAAATTTTCTTCATAAAAACCTTAAAATACATTCTTATACATGAAATTACAGCAAGTTAAAAGTCTAATAAAAATCTGAAAATTATTTTTAAACCTTTAATAATCTCCCTTTTTAATGGATGATTAAACCCTCTTTATAAAACATCAAAAGCAGTACTTAGAAACTATTTCCAACACTTAAAAATTCAATAAAAACATATATTTATGCTTAATTAACTTTAAACATAATTAATTTTATTAAAACTGAAGGATAAAATTTTAAGTATAAAAAAACTTCGTTAAAATAAAAAAATGCCCGAAAATCATATTTAGAGGCTGAATTCGGCCACATGAAAAACACTACTTTTTCATCAAAATTGGAGAGTTCAGAACCTGATCGGGATTAAAACGGTATTACTATTAATGAACGGAAATCTTAAAATTA